CACACACACACACACACACACACACACACACACACACACACACACACCTATTTGGTTTCAAGACTCACCACTCTGCATTGAACATCTGATAAGGGGCTTCTCCCTGGGAGAAGTTAATTCTCCTCCCCGTAGTTATTGGTTACCTAACTTTTTGTCTAAAGGTTGAACCCTGTGAAATTTCTCCTACACATGTCCACTAATATTGCTACTGTTCCAATCTTGTTGTTGCAGCCATTTCTAGGAGAAAACTATTTCACAGGGGACTTTCAGGTTGTGGTGGTTTGAATAAGAATGGCTCCCAGGCTCACATGTTTGAACACTTGGTCCCCAGTACGCTGACCTGTTTGGAAAGAGTTAGGAGATGCGGTCTTGTTGGAAAAGATGTTTGCCTTGGTCCTGGTGTTTTGTCACAGCAGTTGAGAAATAGCTAAGCCACTGGTGTTAAGACTTTCACAACTTTTCACCCCCTCTTTCACTGGGTTTCTGAGCCATCTCTGCAGCACCTGTGATGTTGATGTCACCGTTAGGCCGGGGCTCACCATGAAATGCTGCTCTCTGCATTGTGTCCAGCCATGGTTTGCATTTGTAGTGAAGAGAGGCTTCTTTGATGAGGGATGGTAGCAACATGTATCCAGGAAAGGTGGCTTGTGCACAAAACGCAGTCGCAAGTCCTGGTTCTGGAACTACACTTGTGGGTTTGACTGCTAACTCTTAAAGCGGCAAGTTTTATTTTTATCTTCATATTAAAACACAACAGAGGGAAGGAAAATGTTAGCATACTTACACAGGAGCTTTCTTTTCATCAAAATGTCAAAACATACTCAAACTGGATATTGAATTTTTTTTTAAGGTAGGGAAAATGACATGCGAAATTTCATATTTTCTGCATCAGAAAACTTCTACACGAATACACGCTTATCAGTGTGTGTGTGTGTGTGTGTGTGTGTGTGTGTATCTGTCTGGCATATGTATCTATATATAGTCTATTAAGTGTTAGTAATAGGCTATTTCAGGTGATGGGATATTATTTGGTTTATATTTTCTGATAGTTGCCTGTATTCTGCAGTTAGTGTTTGGTGATTACTATCTTAACTGATGTAAGCGATGTTTTCTACATTCTCAAAATCTGGTAAAGGGTAGTGGGTTTTTATTTTTAATTGTTTTAGAGATAGCAGTTACTTTTGCTTTTAGCATTTTAGCTGAGATGTATAGGTCTGCAGATGAACAGTTAGAGATACATGAAAGTTCAGTGACAGGGACTTGAACCATAAGGTCTACATTTCCTCCTGGAGCTCGTTTGCTGATGGTTTTACCTCAAATTAATGAATTAAGTTCTTGCAGGCCACCATGTCTTTATTTATAAACTAAGGTAACGGTGCCTCACGAAGCTAACGGTGCATTTGAGGGGTGGGAAAGGCCCGAGTGGAAGAGCTGAAGCTTTGCACCATGCCAGGGTGTAGGAATGGCAAGGACTTTCTGAAAAGACACAAAATTGGCAAATGGGATTAAATGAAATTAAACACTTTGTTATAGCAAAGAAGACAACCACCAGAGTGAGGGGACAGCTTGCAGATGGGAAAATGAATAAATGCCAACTAGGTCTAAATAGGGGACTGATTTCTAGACTATATAAAGAGCTGAAAAGATTAATTCCCTAAATACGTCCAATCAATAAGTAGGTTAATGAATTTAACAGTTCTCCAAAGAAGAACTACAAGAACCACTAAATATTTGAAAAGTGTTTAATATCTTTAACTGACAGAGAAATGAAATTCAGACTCTTTTCATCTTCCATCTCACCCAAGTCAGAATAGCTGTTGTCAAGAAAACACATGACAGAAATGCTGGCAAGATGTGGCGAAAGAGGAAACCTTGTACGCTGCTAATGGGAGAGTAAAGTGGTGTGGCCAAGTGGACTTTGGTCAGAGAACTAGAACGAGTTCTACTGCATGGGGGCCTGGCACTCCTGGGGTGTACGTGGAGTCGGCACACTACAGAGACTCGCACGTTTGTGTGTACTGCCTCACTATTAACAACAGCCAATAAATGGAACCTGTCTAGTTATCAATCCCTAAATGAACTGACAGAGAAAATGTCCCCATACACACAGGGAGCTTGTTCAGCTATAAAGGCCTATAAAACAGTATTTACAGGAGAAAGAACACAACTAGAGATTGTATTAAGCAAAATAAGACAAAATAAGATACTCAGAAAAATACCATATTCTCTCTGTCGTGTGTGTGTGTGTGTGTGTGTGTGTGTAAAATAAAAATAGAAAAGGAGCCAGGAGAGTGAAGGGAGATACCTTAAGGAAGGGGAATTGGGTGGGGCTGGAGGGAGGTAGACTGTGTGTAAGAAGAAAGCTGAAGTGGAGACCTATTTGGGGGAAATAGGGAACCAGCCAGGGGAGGCAGGAAGAAAGGGAGAGTTGCGAGTGAGATGAACAAGAACAAAGGACTGGGTGTGGCCTGGTTGGTTGTGAGGAGGTAGAAGCCAGAGGAATTCAAGTTCAAGGTTATTTTTGGCTGCAGTGACATTGAGGCCAGCTTGGGATCCTGAGACGCCACCTCAAAAAACAAGGCCAGTGTGATAGGTCAGCTGGGAAAAAGGACTTGCCTGATACCTAGGATCCACATGGTGAAAAAGCATGATGGCATATACACGTATCTGTATGTATATGAAAATGCTGTAATGCAATCCAATACTTTGTATTCTAACTTTACAGAGGTAAAACTTACCTCAGTGCCTGGCATGTAGTAGACATACCATAAATATTAGTTTTGTATTCTCTTTTAAAACCTAGTCATATAGAGACTCTGCCTTTTTTAGACTTATCTAAGATAATTGTGTGTAACACAATGTTATGAAATGAAGAGTAAATATATTATAAACAAAATGTTGATGTTAAATCAGACATTGCCTGTCCACAAACTCTCCAGCTTGGCTATATTGCCTTCTCTTCCCTTCATATGTTACTGACGTGTCTAGACTGACTAGTGAGTTCTGTAGAATGGTTACCTAAGGAGTTTCTAGATGACTCTTTGGATTTATAACTTCTGTATCTATTTTAATGTATTTATGAACTAAAAACACAGCAAGCATATGGATGGGAATCTTTTAGGACTAGGTAAAAGTGACTCCTAAAGAAAGGTCAACTTAATTAAGAATGTCAATTAGAGTAAAGTATGACAAAATATGGCAAAATTGATATTGAATGGCAGGGTTGGGACTTTAAAAAAAAGAGAAAAGAACAAGCAGATTGACTGTAGGTTTTGGACTTTGTGCTCTGAAGTCTCATTCTCATCTCTATGCCCTGGGTCCCCATAACCTTTCTGGCTTCCAGCCAAACCTGACAAGCTCCAGGTTCAGGGAGAGACTTTGCCTTAAAGGAATAAGGTACCCAATACCCTCCTCTGGCCTCTACTCTCATGTGCAAACACACACACACACACACACACACACACTACACTTGCATACAAATGTAATTTACAGATAAATAAAAAGTAAAAAAAAATGCTCATTAATTACTCTGCCTGTCTTTTCATCCATACATATGCAAGTAGCTGTGACTTGTATTTCAAATTATTTGAAGACCTTACATGAAACTTATAGACAGAAATAGGAACAGAAGGCTAATTTTTGTGTCATAGATATACCGATAGCAAATATGCTTTAGTGGTGCTCCTGGGAGCTGCAGACCTTCCCCTCTTCCTCCTGTGCCAAACTTACTGACATACACTTAAAAGCTTATAGACCACATGTGTTCTGTTTTGTATTTTAGATGATTTTCCCCTTTATTTAACTGTTGTTATTAAAAGAACATGCTTGTGTCTTAGTATCAAATAATGGCTATATGAAGGCATAAGTATTCTGATTCTCAAACATTTTAGTAAGTAATGTGCAGGCTTAGTTTATAGTAACCCATTGTATTTGCATGCATCTTGGGTCTTTGGAAGTGGCTTAGTAGGTAAAATGCCTGCCACATAAGCATGAGGACCTGAGTTCGGATCCCCAGTAATCAAGTAAGAAGCCAATTGTGGTAACATACACCTACAAACCCAGTTCTGAGAAGACAGATCCATGGAGTCCTTTGGTCAGAAAGCCTTGCCAAATAAAGGAGCTCCAGATCAAATGAGAGGCAAAATAAAGAGACGAACAAAAGGTGGTGGGTAGTGGTGGAGAAAGACAACTGTTAACAAATTATGACCTCCACAAGCATCATGGTTTATGATCTTTTTGGTTCTGTGCATTTGCTCAGGACCTCCCTGTGTTCATCAAGGAGATTTGCCTGTAGCTATTCTCCATATTTCTCTTTCCTTACATTCCCTAAGGTAGTGAACCAGCTGGGTCACAGAATCCAAATCTGAAAGGTAAGGACCACAGAATCCAACCTAGTGTGCTATGGGAACAGAGTGCAGCCCTGCATACAATGGGAGGAGAGAGGCAGCAAGGTCTTGGGTCTCTTACATACTTAATAAGGGCTGTGAATTAACTCCCTAGGGCAGTCACAACAGCTGTTGACTCCTGTAATACATACAGTGAGAGTTTGGGGATGCAGACGCTTCATTAGTATCTTTATTATTAATGTCCTGCAGGACTAATTGCTTGCTCTCTTTAAATAGAATCTAGATTTGTTCTATAAAAATTAATTTTGTATACAATGCTAGAAAGTATTTAAAATTTGCAACAGTTTTGGAACTGCCTTCTTCACCATATAACTCTAAGTAAAAATTATTCTTTTTGCTGATAATTTAATAATTTTACATATAAATGGTGTACAGTAATCAAAAGAGAAGATAGAACCTGTCATGGTGTACTGTAGGCTCATGTCAAATGTTCATTTGATCTTACAGGACAGACTATTCGAGAGAAAAGAATTGTAGAAGCAGCAAACAGAAAAGAGCTAGACTATGAAGCAGGAGACATCCCAACAGAATGGGAAGGTAAGTGTTCACTTCTAATAGGGTGTTCTGAAAGGCAGAACATTTAATGAGCTATAAAATTAGAGTACATAGAATTACTTCTCCATGGAAACACTTTACATCTTTGTTTCTGGACCATTGCATTTATTTGAAATTTGTAAAGGTAACAATTTTAATAAGGGAGTGCATGTCCAGCACCAAAAGTTGTAAGGCTCCTTCAGGACATGGCGGTGAGGCAGGCAGACCAAGCTCCTACCATGTAAGATACAGGAGTATGCTCATGCCTGGCCCTTGCACCTCCACAGCACCCGACTAGCGTTCTTTTTCCAGCATTCGCTAACTCCCAAACTTGGGAAGGTAGCATATTTTGGGTCTTCATTTTCTCCTATATAATTTGTGGAGAACACTTACATTAGATGCTGTTTGGAAGTATTTATATAACTCACAAGGAACCTGTGAAGTGACTTCCTCTTATATTAAGGATAGATGTTTGACCCCTATCTGAAGACAGAAGTTGACACGGAGAGCTACATAAAAAGCTCTTGCCTGCGATCTTAGCACTTAGGAGCTGAACCGGGAGAATTGCCTCAACCTCAAGGTCAACTTGGGTGACATAGTAAATTTCAGGCCAGTCTGGGCTATAGTATGAGACCTTGCCTCAAAAACAGTCTCTAAGTTGGCAGCTTGTAGAAGGAGTAGTTAAGCTTTATTTTCCCAGACTGTCAACATTTGCAAATCTCGAGTAGTAATGCTTGTGCCTTCTTATGAGCCTAGTTCGTCATTTCCCAATAATAGTATAGAATTAAAGTGTTTATAGAAATAAATTAGGTTATAAATAAACAAATAGGCAATGGCTAATTTTTCAGCCTTTGAGACTTTCAGAGAATTGGAATGAAGTTTTAATGCTTTTTACGACTCTGTCCTGGTCTAGTAATTCAGCATACGATCCCCATGGGGCATATTCTTAAAAATTATGAATCAGCCAAATACTGAAACACAAACACTTTTACAGTGGCACACATCAATTAAGTAAAAAAAAAAATAAGTACTTTGTACCATGCAAATATATACAACACTATGTACAGGGAAATAAGGGAGCTGTACATTGAAGTCATTGATACCAAAGGAACCTGCTTTCAATCCAGATGAATAAAAGTTGGCATTTTTAATTGTTAACATTAAAGTACCGGTGCCTACCTTGCCTGCTGTCATACAGTAAGGATTAAATAGTGTGGCTTTCATTCGTGTATCAAGGAAGCTATTGACTTCCTAGAGCATGGGAGCAAGACACTAGATGAGGCACTAAACTACATATGTGCTGATGACCATAGGAAATGAAACAGGCAGGGGACAAATAGAGTCCTCTGGAAGCTTTTACAATTTTAGTTAGTATTCAGAGGGACCTTTCTGAGAAGGGACCTTTTCTTTTCTTTGCGTAAAGACTGAAGAAAGATCTGTTTCTGCCCCAATCAGAGAGGGGCGTTACTAAAGCAAGTACAGTGGCCCTGAGGCAAAGGCCTCCCCTGGTGATTAAGGAATATCAAGAAAGCCAATTTGAGAGAAAGCTATGGGAGATAAATTTAGTGTTAAGAGAATGCCTGATCTGGTGGGCAGCATTGTGGGCTATCATAAGGACTCAAGCGTTTTCTTCCAGGGAAACTAGAAGCCTCTGAGAAGTTGGAGGAGCAGCCGTGTGTTGAGTTATAGTTAAAAGGCTCTATCTTGCTACTGAATTATAAGAACTGAGGGCGATGACATCAAAACATGGAGACAGAACGTTTTCTAATACTAAGGCAAAGAATAATGTGACTTGGAGCAGGTTAACAGCAAGAATAGAAGGAAGTAGATACATTCTGGAACAACACAAAAGTAGAGCTAATGGGATTGTTGACACACCGGACACAATGGTTGTGGATAAGCATGCTGAGCCTTCTAGTCTCACCTGGAGAAAATGCAGTACTGTTAACTGTAACAGGAACCACGGACTAGGAGGGAGGTAAAACCAGTGTTGGAAATGGTAAGTTTGAGGGGCCCATTTAGTGTCCGATTAGAAATGGTGAATTGTGAGTCAAGAATTCAGTGGAGCCGGGCGGTGTGGCGTACTCCTTTAGTCCCAGCACTCGGCAGGAGAGGCAGGCAAGCAGATCTCTGAGATCCAGGACAGCCAAGATGACACAGAGAAACCCTGTCTCGAAGAAGAAAAAAAGAATTCAGTGGAAATATCCGGGTTGGAAATAAAAATGTGGAGTTTCCGGCAAATAAATGCCACCTGAAAGGCTGGATGAGGTCACAGAGACAGTGAGTGCAAACAGGAAGGGTGGGGCAGGCTGGAGCCTGTGCTCCTCGGGTTTAGAACAGCGGACACAAGAGCAGTGACAAGAAAATTAGGAGAAAAAGGAAAAACTTCCCGTTCTGGAAGCCAGGCATCAGGAATGAAACTGTGAAGAATGTGTCACCCGTTAACCATTTACTTTAAGATCAGACAGGCCAGCACTGTTCTCAACAAAACAGTTCAGTAGACTAGCGGAGCCTGAGAGAAAAGAGAGACTTTGGGGAAGTAAGCAGAGATGATGTTTTGAGGAGGTTATCTGTAAAGAAAGTTCCGCTGTGAGACCCACCTAAGAGAGGAAGGCAGGTGACACGAGACCCTAGCTAGAGAGGGAGGCAGGGTGACAAGAGACCCACCAAGAGAGGAAGGAGGAGTGACAAGAGACCCTACCTAGAGAGGACGGCGGGATGACAAGAGGGTTTATGCTGGCTGTCTTGGAGGCAGGAAATGAGAGGATTTTTCAGTAGTGATGGTGAGGATTCAATCCCAAAGGCAGCATGTATCAGTTGAAATTCTCTGAGAAGGGAAGCTGTGCAAGGCCTGGTCCATAGCTGGAAGAACAGAGAAGTTCCATCAGTAGGAATTGTGGGTAGATAAGACAGTGAGAACGTTTGTAAACTCCTGGTTCCTCCTGCTGAGTCAAGAGTGCTTACAACCTTCCCCAAGCTAACAGCTGCTACAAGATCTGAAATCATGTCTTCTAAGTCTGTGGCATTTTGTTCTCCTGTTGTCAGTCCAGGGACTGAAACTAGGGCATTGGACATGCAAGGCACGGCTGCACTGCCCAGCCCCAGCCCCAACTCCTTCACTCATTGCCTTGTATGAAATTCCCTTTTATTAACTGTTTGATGTTACATTTAACCCACCTTTTTAGTAACTCGGCCAACACCTCCTTTTCCTTCAGTGGGTTAGATGCTGATTCCCACTCTCAGCCAATCCTAGCCCCAGATGAGATGTTTCTTGTGTTCTCGCTCATTTCCTGCCCTCCTCATGGCACCTAACACACTAACAAGTTTCCTGGTTGCTTTGCTGCTCCGTCTCCTGGACTTGACAGTTCTTTATGGTGGAGTCCCGACTTCCCATCCCTGCGCTTCAGGGCCTCCCTCAACACTTGACATACAGTAGGGTGGTTTTTAGGTTAGTCTCTGTGTGGTATTTTGAGTGGTACATCTCAGACCTTATGCACATTCAGACTGTTGCTCAAGTTTCAGCACTGTTCCGACTCCAGAATGTTTCCATCATTCCAAACTGAAACCCCTCCCTTAACAATGAGCCCTACTCTACCCTCTGTCATTATGCATTTGACTGTTCTAGACTTGTCATCCAGGTAGACCAAGCAGATTGTGGATGTCCGTCTGTATTTGGCGTAGTTCTTTCTCTTAGCCCAGTGTGCTTATGTTCCCAGGTGAGCTGTGGGTGCCACTGTACTTGTCACAGTTTCTGCACTCTTCAAAAAGTGCACGCTTGGCTTAGCTCACTTCCATCTTTTGGTTATTGTGCAAGATGGAGCTATAAATAGACATTTACAAACATTTTTACTTTTAAATATAACTATAAGTAGTTAAAATAAATTTAAGTCTAAGAAGACCGTGTGAAAGGCAGAGCTTGTCAGAATGATATAAAAGATAGTTATAATGAAGTTTTACCTAATTAGATCTGTACTGAGCAGTTAAAGAATGGACATTTTTCTCCTCACTTTGGATCACAGTGTAGCCAGTACTAGTTTTATGATGCCCAATTTATCCTGTTTATCAATCCTGACAGAAACAATGAATAGATAACACTACAGGCCAGAATCCCACATCAACACAGACATAGAAACCACTGACACAATGTCAGCAACCTATCAAAAGTGAGCCAGATGTGATAGTGTATGCTTGTAATCCCAGCCACTCTAGTCAGAAAGATTGTGAGTCTTGCCAGGCTGGAATACTTACTAAGACTTGTTCCAAATAGAAGTAAGAAGGGGGCTGGGGAATATAACTCGGTGGTATATCATTTGGTGGCATGTGCAATTATTTTAATCCCCAAAATACTTCCTACCCCCAAATGCTAGGTTATGCTAACTGGTTAGGTTATTCCAGTATATTGGGTTGTCTTCACACTGGAAAGTCAAAGGCTGGGAAGATGCTCAGCAGGTGCTGCTGTGCAAGCATGAAGACCTGAGTTTCATGCACCCAGCATCCAGGTGAAAAGCCAGATGTGGTGTTGCATGCCGATAACCCAATGCTAGGAAGCAGAGAAGGGAGAATAGTAGGGCTTGCTGGCCAGCCAGCCTGACCAATCAGTGACTTCCAAGATCAGTGAGACAACCCATCTTAAGACAACCCATCGTAAGAAATGAGGGAGAGAAGGGCCAATGAGTTGGTTCAATGGATAAAGGGCACTTGCCACCAAGTCCAGCAACTTGAGTTCAATCCCCTGAGCCCACATGGCAGAAAGAGAGAAGCAACTCAGGCAAGTTGTTTTCTGACCTCCGCATATACTTGCACCCCTGACGTGCACACACGTACTTAGTAAACTAGGATTCCTAAAGCTTTTTTTTTAAAACAAGAATAAGACTGGAAGATAGAGAATGTAAATGTTTTATCAAGACAGTTTATTTCTGAGAACATTAAAATTTAAGAATGGGGCAAAAAGTTGAGCTGATATTTCACCATTGTAAATTCTCTCAACTTTTGATAAGTTGCTG